ATGAAGTCCTGTTACTTGTTATGTCTACTGCTGTTCTCATTCTGTTCAGTTTGATGTAAAGAGTGTTCTGTAATAACTTGAAGAAGTGGTGATACATTTATTATGTTCATTGCGTGAATAGGTAACGTTTTAAAGTTGTTTTTGAAACTGTTCATTTTCTCAAAACTAATTTTTGGAAGTTGAAATAAAAAATTTAGTGAAGTGTGTCTTGAATGAAAAATACCCCCATGTTTAAAAGTATAAAAATTGTATTAACACTAACAGGTCTTAAGTGTTACTCAAATATTTCCTTTCCATTAAAGAGACTAACTGAATAAAATTGAATAAACATGAATGTTAAGACTAATTAAAACATTTTCTCACTGGTAGGAGGCTTTTTTTTGGGGGGGGGGGATTGTTTTTATAGCTCATTAATATGTTAAGTCTTTTCTATGCAGCACCTCGGTGCAACACTTTTTGGCTTTTACACCCACTTTAAATAATGAAGTGAAATGTTTCTTCTACAGCATGAGAAGAGACGAACTTGCTGCCATCTCAGGACCAAATGAGTTTGCAGAGTTCTACAACAGACTGAAGCAGATAAAGGAGTTTCATCGAAAGCACCCAAACGAGGTATTCAACCTCATCGTGAGTTGTCCCACGTATTCTGCATTTGGATCTGTCTCTGTGTTATTCTTGCTTTGTGTTTCCTGTAGATTTCTATTCCCATGTCTGCCGAGTTTGAAGAGTTGATGAAGGCCAAGGACAACCCCAGCGAGGAGGCTCAGAGTAAGTCCTGACACTGGTTCACTCCTGTTGTTCAGTCATTCCTTCAAATAGAACGGACAAACAGCTGCGAAGAATAATTCACATGAACTGTGCTGCAACAGGAAGGAAGTGTAAAACTTGCTTTGCTGCTGTTTTAGGTTTTAAGAGGAGCACCAGGTCAAGTTTAACAGTCAATAATTTTTAGATAACACGCCTTAATCAACTTATTTATCAGGTTTCAACAGCTGAGAGCTCAATCCATTCATTAAAGGGAATTTTCAATCATAATGTAGTCCAAAATCCATCTGTGATCTTTATCCGCTTCTTCATTGTTGAGTCCCGGGGAACGCTGGTGCCCATATCCAGCAGTCACTGTGTGACACCCTGGACATGTCTCCATCATAGGGACACATGGAGACAAACGAGACAAACAGCCATTCACTCTCACTCACATCTAGAGACAATTCAGAGTTACCAATCAGCCTAACATGCATGTTTTTGGTCTGTGGGAGGAAACTGGAGTACCCAGAGAAAACCCACGCATGCACGGAGAGAACATGCAAACTCCAATAACTTTTTGAGTCGGAAGCTGGAGTCATTTCTCAACATCAACTCATAGATGTTCTGTGCAGCAAAATGGTGAACGCAGATATATATAGATAGATATAGATATAGATATATAGATATATATAATGTGTGTGAACCCACCAGTGTCACCTAACACATGCTTCTAAAATGGTGCCCTAAGATCTGTGTGTTTTTCAGACATGGTGGATTTTACTGATGAGGAGGGATATGGACGCTACCTTGATCTTCATGACTGCTACCTGAAATACATCAACCTAAAGGGAGCTGAGGTTAGAATCCTAAAAAAAAAAAATTTATTTTTTTTCCACCGTAAGATGTAGTGGTTTCCAACCTGTGTGTATCCTTCCAGAAACTGGACTACATCACTTACCTGGCTTCATTTGACCAACTCTTTGACATCTCCAAGGACAGAAAGAATGCTGAGTACAAAAAGTATGTCCGTCTTGTAAGCCCCATTAGAAGCAACAAGGCTAAGTTCCATATTGTCACCCTGAATAATGTGGGTGTTTTGAAGGTACCTGGAGATGCTGCTGGAGTACCTGCAGGACTACACAGATCGTGTCAAACCTCTGCTGGACCAGAATGATCTTTATGGCAAAGTGTTATCTGACTTTGAGAAGAAATGGGACAATGGGACCTTTCCAGGGTGGCCTGTAAGTCTTGCTAATGTGACACAAATGTCTTGTGATGGTTTGTCAGCTGACATTTGTTGCTTTTTGATCTTGTAGAAAGAAACGAGCAGTGCTTTGACACATGCTGGAGCTCATCTGGACCTCTCAGCTTTTTCTTCTTGGGAGGTAAATAAAAACAACTTGTTTGATTTGAATTTAAGGGATGCTCTTTAACATCTACTCTCACCTGTTTTTTTGTGCAGGAGTTGGCCTCTTTGGGTCTGGACAGATTAAAGTCTGCTCTTATGGCTTTAGGACTGAAGTGTGGAGGGTAAGAATGCGAGAAAAAGAAAAACCTTCAGCACAGAAAGAAATAACTCAGTCATATTTATCAAAGTTAAGCTACAGATTTGTGTGTCAGTAGTTGAAACTTGTCTTGAACACATTGTTAAAGCGCGAACATGTCTCAGTGTCACATGTGAGAGCGTGTAAAAGTCATTTCCAAGGTCCTGGATTAAAAGTGTGGATTATTGTAACCTGGATTAAAAGTGTGGATCATTGTAACCTGGATTAAAAGTGTGGATCATTGTAGTGAAGCTTTCGTCTTCAACCATCGACAGGCCTCACCGTCATTAATCAGATAAACAAACAAACAAACAGCTTCATCTACCAGACAGACTGACGTTACGTTTTCTCTCTTGAAACAGAACAATGTGTTAAATTGTAGAGACTCACCTGCAACACGAGTTGGGAGTGAGACATGTTGTATCTGCTGCAGCTCGTGACTCCGACATGTTTACGTTTTATCTCCGTGGTTCTCTCGTGTCGTGTCGGTGATTTTCAAAGCAGCATGCTTCTCATTTTTTATCTTTGTGAAGAGCTCTCACACTTTGGAGGACTTGTGTCGAACAGTTTTCGCTGCATCGGTCATTTGTAAAATTTACTTAAATTTCCTTTAAAAACAGCCTCTGCTCCGCTCCCCCCTCGCTCTGTTCAACTCGCGCTGCAGTTTTTTTTTTGTTCAAACTTTATTCAGTCAGTCAGTATTGACAATGAACTGCCTGTAAACAAAACAAAACGACTCTGCAGCGCCATGAAAGATGCATAATCGCGCGACACAACAAATCGATAACGAAATTCGTTGCCAACGCTTTTAATCATCGATTTTTATCGATTTTATCGATTGGTTGTTGCAGCCCTAGATTGAAGTCGCTACAGCCCCAGCAACAGTAGGGTTCCCTGAACCCTTATTTGGATAATGACAGCCCCCGCCTTGCCTAACGGAGTCCTTTGTGACTCCCATGTGATCCCCGACCTCTGAACTCTGAAGAGATGATTGTCCTGAACTATCTGCGTAACGGAGCCCCCGGCCCACCAAAAACGATGCTGGGACCCCCGGTCCCCCCAGAAAATAACCATAATCTTCTCACCTCCTTTGTGCGGCTGCATTCACCGTTCCACACCCGTCACGCCTCGAAACACCAGCAGATCATCTCATTTCAGGAGATCAGTCCTCCCCCGTGCACATTATCAGATCTGAGTGGGCTGAGGCGATGTTAGGGCCGACACTCGAAGGACCAAAAATGTTGGATAAATAAATATCTTATTATTATCTACTTACAAAAAAGGAACCACTCAAAGAGGAGAGAAGATTTTTAAGGACGTTTACGAGCAGCTCGGTCAGAAACAGTCTCACAGATGTTCAGAGTTACCTGTTTAGAGCCTCGTCAGTGAGACTCTGCACCGGACAGAGGCAGGAAGTGTTTTTATAAACTTATCAGCATGGTGACCTCACCTCTTGGACTCGGTCAGGTGCCTGCAGGAGTTTCTCTGAGAGAACAACTCTGACCTCACACACACGGTAACATGACTTTAACTTAGCCGTGACAAACATCCAGAAACCTTTGCCTGCACTCTCCTGACAGGAAGCGGGTGACGTGCATTCTTTTTGCAGCTGCAGGGGATGATTCCAAAGCATTTGTGCTAAAACTACTTATGAGCTGTAAGAGCTAAAATGAATTTTCTGTAGTTGACTCATAATAATGACTCGTCGTTGACCTTGTGAGTGGATAATAAATCATATTGTTTGTTGACCTGTGTGTTTCTGTGTGCTCAGCACTCTGGAGGAGCGAGCTCAAAGACTGTTCAGCACTAAAGGTAAATCCCTGGAATCACTTGATCCGTCTTTGTTTGCCAAGAATCCCAAAGCCAAAGGTCCTAAAAAGTAAGTGTGCATCGTAAAATGAACTCTAAGGCTGATCGTGTCCTCCAGCGCTGGATACTTTATATTGTGTAACGTGTTCGACCCCAACTGTGCAGAGATACAGAGCGGAACAAGGAAATCGGCTTCCTGGAAGCTCAGGTGTACGAATACGTGGAGATTCTGGGGGTGAGTCTTCATCTCTGGGTTCTGCTGTTGCGACACTGTTGGGTGTCGTCAGTGTGGGCAAGATTGTCCTAATGGCTGTTGATGTGGATTTTGTGGCTATATCCAGGAGCAAAGGCAGCTGACTCACGAGAATGTGCAAAGGAAACAAGCGAGGACAGGTGAGGAGCGTGAGGAGGAGGAAGAGGAGCAGCTCAGTGAGAGCGAGAGCGAAGACGAAGACAATGAAATCATCTACAACCCCAAGAATCTGCCACTGGGCTGGGATGGAAAGGTGAAGTTACACCTGGAACATTTCTCCCCAGCAAAGTGAAACTAGCACAGCAGTGAGTCGGTCCCTGTGTGCGTGTTTCATCGCTCATGTCCGGCGACACGGGGGCACACTTCAAACAAAGACAAGTTGTGCTTGTAAAGAAACTCAAATGTCTTTGTAGCCTGCTGCTGAAAACCTACTGGCAGGTGAAAATATCGTTCACAATGTGTGTGTTTGCTCATCTGGGCAGCTGTGGCTGACTGGTTAGAGCAGTCGTCCTCCAGTGGGAGAGTTGGGGGTTTGATTCCACCAGCAGTCGCATGCACGCCTCTGATGTGTGTCCCATCAGTGTATGAATGTGATAAAGCTCTGATTGATCTTTGTAAATCTAGTAGAGTGCTGTATGAACGGGTAAACGAGGCACAGATTGTAGTGTAAAGAGCTTTGACTGTCTTGAGATAGAAAGGCGCTAATGTCTGTTAGCAAAATATCTCATGAACCACTGGGCAGATTTTATTGAAACTCTCAGAAAGTCATCACTAATGTGCATCTACAACTGATCAACTTGGAATCGATCCAGTTAAACATGGATTTCACAGTTACCGACCATTTGAAACACCAGTATAACTCTGTAACAGTTTTACTGACATCGAGCTAACATGTAGCATGCTAGCAGCTGAGAGTAATCCTCAACAAATGCTCCGAGCATAAACAGGTTGTTTTAAATCTTTGGCAATAATGTTGGAGTCAACTCTGTCTGTTAGTAATAAATCTCACAGACCACAACACACTTTTCAACAAAACTCTCAGAAAGTCATCACCAGACGTGCATCTATAATCGATTACCTTTTGAATGAATCCTTTTTAAGTGTGGCTACCACAGCTAATTGAGCTTAAGGTTGTATCTCACCAAGCTGCAACTGTTGGGAGACTACAAACTGTGAATTTTCTGTTTCACTTTCCCTGAATTCTGAGTGTTTGTTACCAGCAAACCTCATGGCAGCATTTTGCTCTGCAAGGTTTTGTCCCCCGTTGTAGAGCAGAGAGAGGACTGGGAAATACCCTCTGTCTGTTTGTCAGGTTCATCTTGTGAGCTCAGTAACTAGAAAAACACGAGGTATGAACTTAGTTTAGTGCCTGGCTGCATCTAGGAGTAAGAAAGGTCCCCATCAAAAATGGGGTTGCCACGTCAAAATCCAAGACCATAGACAAGACAATATGGCCACAACTAACCAACCATCCATCCATCCATCCATCCATCCAAATTAATCAGTACCACTTTCAGCCACTTGATGGCAGCAGAGTAGTAATAGCTCTATGAATGCTGTTGTATCATAGGTAATCGTGGCTGTAATGACAAATTCAAAAAAGTTCAAGACAAAAACAACTGGACTTTATTTATTATACTTTATTGTTGTTTTTTATCTTGAACTTTTTTGAATTTACCATGTCCTGGATGACTGACGATCTTCACCATCTTTTGATGACACCATCGGCCTGCCATCGTCTTCCCACCTTGGTTCTGCTCGCTGTTTGGACCGTCCGTCATACCATCTGCACAGCCCTGGCGAAATGCAGCTAATTTGACCAGTAAAATGCATTTATTGAGCAAAAGTTCAACTGAGACGCACTTATGCTATAATTTCGATCAAACAAATAATTGTTTAGGTGTTTGTCTTGTTAAATTTGTACAGCGACTCGTCGCTTGCACGCGTTTACTTCCGCTTATCAGGTTTTGAAATGCAGCTGATTTAACCATTGAAGTGCATTTATTAAGCAAATGTTAGATTGATACACACACTTACTATAATTTCGAGCAAACAAACAATTGTTTTTAAGTGTTAATCTTGTTAAATTCTTGTTAAAGTCCTCCCGTGCACACTCCCGCGGTCGCCATTTGGCAGCGCATAGATTTCTTTGGCACACCGGCCCACATTTCCATGTTGTCAGCGGTGACGCGAAACAAACACGACGCGTTAGCGGCGCTGCATAATACATGTGACGTACACGACGAAGCAACATATTTATGGGGTTTTCCACTTTATTAGACAAATATGGACTGATGCAACTTATAGGGCATATTGACTTGTACGGCAGAAAATACAGTACAATAGATGGGGGCGGCCAAAGATTAATATTCCGTCACTTTGCGCCACCTTGGACAAGCAAAGAAAACACCTCTGTTTGTGTGTGATGCTCATTTCGTTCTACATGTGAAACCCAACTGTTGTTTCCGCACACACCTTTCATTGTCCATGAGAGACAACGCAGGGTTTCCACTCTGTCCCTGCTTTTGCAATGTGGCCACAAATCTGTTGTGAAGATAGCGCCACACTTTAACAGATGAACTACTCCGTGCACAATCTGCACAGTCTCCGTCCAGAAGTTTTTGTCCATTTGATTATAAGCGTGTTTAAAAATCGTACAGTATTTTCTGACTGCCTCGGCCAGCTGCTCCTCAAAGCTGTCAGTGTTTCTTGCAGGCACAACAGCTGGCTTCTGGAAGCAGTTGAAGAGAAATGACAGCGCTTCTGTCAGAGCACTTTTCTGCATACATTTAATGCTGAATTCAAGATAATTGAGGATTCCCAGCCTCACCTTTGTTTTACTTGCTTCATCTGATAATTAATCTAAACTTGCATTTTATTTCCTGCAGCCGATCCCTTACTGGCTCTACAAACTCCATGGTCTGAACATCAACTACAACTGTGAGATCTGTGGAAACTACACCTACAGAGGGCCCAAAGCCTTCCAGAGGCACTTTGCGGTACAGGAGTGTTTTATCATGGACTTCTTGTTTAAAACGTTTTAGGTTTTTAAAGATTAAAATCATTTTTTTTATTGTTTTTTTGTTGTTCTTTTTAGGAGTGGAGACATGCTCATGGAATGCGTTGTTTAGGAATCCCCAACACCGCACATTTTGCTAACGTCACGCAGATCGAGGATGCAGTCTCTTGTAAGTCCTGTCTCCAGGTTTTTATCAATAAAATCTAAAGACGATGTTTTGTGGGTTCGTTTTTTTTTTTTAAAGTGATTTGTATGATTTTATTCCAGTGTGGGCAAAACTGAAATCCCAGAAAGCGCTGGAGCGGTGGCAGCCTGACACAGAGGTAAGTAAATATCCTAACAAATCAGTTTAGGGCTTAATGTTCCCAGATCTGACCCCCCCTGTGTGTTTACAGGAGGAGTATGAAGACTCCATTGGAAACGTGGTGAACAAGAAGACTTACGAGGATCTGAAGCGACAGGGTTTGTTGTAGGTGGAGAATGTAACAGAACCTGAGCTCCCATTCAAATGGATCATTTTTATTTACTTGTCTTTTTATTTGTTAGTCGTAATGATGTTTACCAGACCCGCCCTTAACAAATTTGTAATATGGCAATTGTTGATTAATAAATGGAGTACTGTAGTGTTTGAGTACTGTGTTAATACCTGGACATGCTTGAAGCTAACAACCAAGGTTAAAACAAAAACACTTTGTAACAAGTTTATATTTAGCAGCTTGATGAATCAGATCATTCTATAAAAATGCTGCTGCCGCCAGTAAATACTGATTAGTCCAAATGTTGTCTCAGGAAAGGATCAGACCAGCAGTTATTCCAAAACTTTTGTTATTGGGATGCCTCACCCAGCATAGGGAAACGAACACACCCCTGGAGCCTTGGTGATGGAGTGTGTTGAACTCGTGGTGTTCTGTTACTGCACTGTGCTGGGCATGGGGGCTCCATAACAAGCACGTTTGAGCGTAGGGTGGTCTAGAACAGTACTGTGCACACAAATTTCACAGTTGCTGTATTTTTAGAGCATGCACAAATTGTGGGGAGAAAAGAATGTGGTCAATAAATATTAAGTATACCACCTGTTGGACAAGTATACGCATCTTTAAGATCTACATAACATGAAACAACAGTCAACTTAATTTTTTATCACAGAATAGAGGATGAGGAGCGATGTCTACGAGCCTTACACCTGTTCTGTCAGGTTTTCACTGGAAGATCAGAGAACACGATCCAGAAGATGAAGTCCATCTTTATGCTCTACACCACGGCTTTCGTTCACTAATCCAGCGAAGTCTGGACTCTTGGAGATGGTTGGAACTCCCATCATCTTCGAATTGAAAGGAATCGCTCACCATTGCAACTCTGGACAAGATACAAAGCAAGACACCATGGAGGATCCTGCAGAGGTTAAAGATCCAGTCATCCATTTTATTTCTGGACAATTGAAGGCATTTGATATTTAAAATCTTAATCTTTTAACGTTTAATCATTTTGAACAAAAATAAATCAAGGTTTTATGAAGAACAATAGATATTTTGAAAAAAAAAATAAGAAAATGTAGTTTCAACTAACAAATCCTCCAGGGGCTGAAATTTACAAGATCACGCAGCTGAACTTAAATTGGCACACGGCATCTAATACATCTGTCCCTAAATCCAAAGTTTGAACCATGTATTGGCAGTAAGTGCTTGTGCAAAGTCATAGTTATTTACATGAGCTGGAGCTTCAGGGTTTCAGCACATTGCTGAAGTTGGAAGGATTCCCTCGAAAATCTCCACCCTGAGGTCTGAAGGGAGCAGAACCTCTGAGCCAGGGTATCTGATGAAGATGAAACTGACAGAATGAAAACTGGCTAAATGTTGTGCTCCACACACTTCTTATTTTCTATATTTCATTGATCCACTTTATCAAATGTAGATGCATTTATGAATAATTATGCATTAGTCGATATGAACTCACAGCGCCTGTTTAATGTTCTCAGAGATCCTGTGACGCAGCAGATGGGGTCGACACATTCCTCGTCATCACTGGCCATGTGACTTTAGGAGCATCTGAAAGAATAAATCTGTTTCAGCAATTACAAACTTTGTTAAAGGGAATTAAAAAAAATACCAGATCTATTTCTATCCAGTGCCTATAAAAAGTATTCACCCTCTCGGATGGGTCATGCTTTTATTACAGTCAAACATCCATTTTACATGGACCATTCTTAATTTGACAACATTAAATGCATAAAACAACCGAGGTTGTGAATACTTTCATGGGCACTGTAGATACAGATCTATAAATAAAACTTATCACAATCAAAAATTAATTTAAGGTGATAACTTTATGTAAGGTGCAAATAACTTAAAATTACCTTGTACATGTGGTCTGAACAGCATTTCTGACATGGGAAGAAGAAGTGGGACAACATCTGGCCTAGGTGTCAGGAGGGGCCACACCACTGGATCTGTCAGTCCCTTTCTCAGCTGTTTTATGTGTCGCATGGTCCTTAATTCCAATGACCTAAAAGACACTCCTGAGAAACATTAAAGCCCAAACATCCTCGGTCCAGATACCATCTAATCTGAACACTAAAGGAAAGTGTTCAGACATAATGGTGCACATGTAGACACTGACGCGCACGTAGAACACTTAGCACTATGTCTGTGAGGTCCTCTAGATGGTTTATTTTATGTTGAAACATTCATCCAAAAGACTTCTTCAGTCCGAGGAGCTGCAACAAACTCAGTCTTACAAACGACAATTTCTCAAAGTGGGTCAACCAGTTTGATGGTGCTCAGATGGTTTCTGGAGTCCGCCCTCTCCCCCGCCGACTCGCTTGAGGCAACCATGGCCAAAGTGGTTCAAAACATCCCGATTCGACTGCCTCAAATGAGTCGACGGGAGAGGGCGGACTACAGAAACCATCTGGGCGCCATCAAACTGGTGTGAATACATTGTCTTGATTTTTTTTTTTTTAAGTATACCACAGGTGCACCGGTGCAGTACACTGTTTATAGTGGGGATGGTGTACTGCTGACGGGGAGGAGGTCCTGCCCCAAGTGGAGGAGTTTAAGTATCTCAGGGTCTTGTTTACAGATGAGGGAAAAATGGAACACGAGATCGATAGGCGTCTGCAGTGAAGCGGGTGCTGTACTGGTCTGTCGTGGTGAAGAGAGAGCTGAGTCAAAAGCTCTCGATTTATCGATAGGTCGATCTACGTTCACTACCCTCATCTATGATCATGAGCTTTGGGTTGTGACTGAAAGAACGAGGTCACAGATACAGGCGGCTGAAATGATTTTTCGCCGCAGGGTGTCTGGGCTCTCAGGGTGAGAAGCTCGGTCATCTGGGAGAGACTCGGAGTAGAACCTCCACGTCAAGAGGAGCCAGTTGAGGGGGCTTGGGCATCTGGTTATGCCTCCTGGACGCCTCCCTGGTGAGGTGTTCCAGATACGTCCCACCGGGAAGAGACCCAGAGGAAGACCCAGGACACTCTGGAGGGACTATGTTTCTCGGCTGGCCTGAGAACACCTTGGGATTCCCCCGGAGGAGCTGGTCCAAGTGGCTGGGGAGAGGTCTGGGCCTCCTTTAGGCTATCCACCCCACGACCCAACCCCGGACAAGTGGAAGAAAAGGGATGGATGGATATTTGGTACTCAGGAAAATCGCATTATCATTTAATTTTAGTATATGAATAGTAAAAGTTATTGCCTATTAACAAATATGCCACAGCCGGCTCTGCATGTCACCATAGGACTTTTTAGCATCTGTTAACAGCAGACAAACAAAATCACGTTTCATTTTACTCACGTGCTTTTTCACGTCTCATGCAGAACGGTTTAATAATTGAACATCAGATTTAAACAGTGCTGCTCATCACTTTCTCTGCCCTGTTGTAGAACCTCTTTTTGCATATCTTCTGAATTGTAAATTATGGATCTGGTCAGCTGGTCTCTCAATGCAATTGATCAAATTTTCTCAACGAGAAGACAGGGCGAAGGAGAGCCCTCCTGCCCCGACAGGACACTGGCAGCCGTATACACAATAGATGTGTCTGTCCATTTTGTTGGTCTAGGATGCTGAAGATGTGTACATAATTGGATTTATGATTACAGGATTTCTTCTTTTTAGTGTTGGTGGTTACCTGGTATATCAACAAATTCGGAAAACGTCGACAGCTGTTCTGGCCGTTGTGAAGCTGCCCGGCATGTGTGAAGGAATGTACCACGCTGTCAACACTCAGACTCAAATGCTGTGCGAGCTGAGCCGTGAGCTGGATGTGATTCTTGCTGAGACTCGCAGGCTACTTGTGACTCCTTAATCTCGCTGGTGGGAAGGAATAGATCTCGGAGGAGTTGCAAGCTCAACTCAGCGTATGTGGCCGAGGGCTTTAACAGACTACTCGAGTAACATACACATCGATTCCTAGGACATCTATCGAATTTTTAAATTTCACGTCGAGTATTGCCGTTACGTCATTGTGTCACGTGATCCGCACCGGGCGCAGGCTACAAAATAGATTCCTCCCAGCAGACAGATGGAGCGGAGCAGGCCCAGTCTTGGCAAACAGGTAGAAATACATCAATAGTCTGGAAATATTTCACTAAAGATGAATCTTCTGTTTCAACTACTGTAAGGAAACAGAAAATGAAACAACTTCCTGACTGTTTGGAGCTTGTTGCTAACCGGTGTTGCACCATATTCTGTGACCACCGTCTATTGTGACCGTAGGGGGCGGTGTTGCATGCACTGTTGCAGGTCACAGAATATGGTGCAACACCGGGTCCAATGACCAAACCAGAACCAGCTTCCTCTGACCTTGTTTCACAAACAAAAAGCAAAAAATATTAATCTCTAAATCTATAAAAACCTATAAACATATTAATCTCTAAAACTAAACCTAATGCGCACCACAGCTGGCGGTGGTGCGAGGTGGTCGTCTGCCTCACTGCTTTTAATTTTTGATTTTTACGTGCCGCATGTTTCTTTCACTTTTGCAGCTTAATGATAATAACTAATAGTTTTGGTTTTCCTGTGACTTATTTGCAGTGTGATAAATGGTAGGAGCATAATATTCTCTCCCAATGTTTTGTTGGGTCTTTTTATTGTAAATAACAAATTACGTTTTTTTGCTATTCATTTATTTATTTTTGCATCTTGAGATCCTATGACGTCATCAACTACTCGAGCTCTTCTCGAGTTTTATTATGTTAATGTCGAGTTTAAAAGTTATGTAGTCGTTCAACCCTTAATGTGGCCACAATTTGGCTGTTTGGAGTCACCACTGAGATGTACTAGTGAGATTATAAAAGGCAGATGGAAATTAACAGCTTGGCCTGACCCAAAACAAATGCTGCTATCTGAACCTGGCTTCCCCTGTGTCTGCCTGGGAAGGTTGACTATCTCAAATTATCCTGGATGTTATGTGAACAAGATGCTCTGCTACCCCCCCCCCCCCCCTCCCCAAGGACATGGACCTGTGTCAGAGCTCTACCGAGCCAGCTGATAAAGAAGGTACCATCACTTATCAGGACTATGATGGGTGGAGGTGGGGGCTATCTGGACAATGTTCAAGGACTACTTCCCATCCAATTCACCACCTTTGCTGGCCCGCCTCATTTTGTCTCTCTTGTGCAGCAACCTAGGTAGATGTGAAGGTGCCAGTGGTTGCGTTGCTCACTTGGGTGGCCTTTGCTGGGACTCCCACCCTCACCCACTCCACATGCATCTGTCTTTATGTCACCACTATGTTACTTTTTCTTATGCTGAGGTTCTTTTTGCAACTTCATACTGTGTCCTGTCAATCTCACGCAGCCTTATAACCTGAATCTCTCACTTACTGCTCTTTGAATTGAGAAAGCTCCGCGGATGAGGAGCGAAACGTCTTCTGTTACAAATAAAGTCCAGTTGGTTTTGTATTTTTGTATTGAATGTATTTTGAATGCGTCCTGTCAAGGACACAGTGTGAGATATGATTTTTTCACACCTCCCCTTTGCTCATGTTTTCCCTTTTCCTTATCTAAACAAAAAGGGCAGCACCTCCCATGATGGCTGCAGTCTCGGGCATCCCTGTCTACCCATGTTGTTTTCTTTGGACGGCTGTACTGAAATGTAATTTCGTTGTGCTTCTGTGCAATGAAAATAAAGGTTGATTGTGATTCACGCACCTGTGGCTGGAATGAGGGAGGGTGGTGAGTGGCATCGCTGGAGATGCCATGTTCACTAAAACATCTAAATGTTTCGGTGTAAACGCTTATTTTGACTACATATGTATTTAAATTTATGTGTATAAAACTGGAGGAACGCACTGCTGGGAGAGGATTGTCTACGCTTTGGTTACGTCTCCACGCAATGTCCATTGTCAAGGAGATGCACATTAACGAGTTTGCTGGAGGACCTTCATGGTGCTACCATTTTATGCAACAGAACCGCCTCTCCTTCAGAGCACGGACGACTGTTTGTCAGAAGCTGCCCGCAGACCTCACAGAATAGGTCGAGAGTTTCAAGGGCGTTCGCCAAGAAGCAGAGCATGTCACCTGATCACATCATTAATATGGACGAGGTCCCCCTGACATTTGACGTTTCCATGGGCAGAAGTGTCAATATTGTCACCACTGGTCACGAGAAGTCGCACTTCACATGGTGCTGGCGTGTTGTGCAGATGGGTCGAAACTGCCACCGACGGATTGCTTTAAATGTAAAACTATACCAAAAGAATAATTCCCCTTGCAGACAGTTGTGGCAGTTAACTAGAGAGGTTGTATGGATCAGGAGATGATCCGTGATGAGATGACTGATGAAGTGCTACACTAAGCGTCTGGATGGATTCTTCAAAACACGCAAAGCCCTGCTCGTCATGGACAGTGCGTGCACTTAACGCCACAGTTTAATGAGAAAATAGAAGTATACAACTCAATATCTACAATCATTCCCGGAGGCTTAACTAAAGTAGTCCAGCCTCTCGACACCTCGGTGTACCAGAGCTTTAAAGCAGCCTTGCGTTGCCTGTGGGAAGAGTGGATGGTGCTTCAAGCCTACCGGACGGGTGCGTCATCGAGGCCAGTAGCTTCGAAGCTAACCTAGCCCTTAGAACACTACACCGTGTTATCTTTCTTTCTTTCTTTTTTTTTAAAGTTCTGTTTATCTATAATGTTTATTAATTCAGTTTGAGAATATTTTGGGTGTTTTAAAAAATATTAATTTCACTTTTCTGTGGTTATTGTTATTAAGTTCAAGTTAGTTTAAGATGCATAACGGCCATCCAGTAAGATAAATGTTATGTTGGTTGTTCAATCTTGAATGGAGTATCTTAATTTTCTTTCTTCTTATTCATTATTATTTTCTGTTTCCCCCTGAGGGATTGTCTCCTTGTTGTGGTCAGGGGGGTTGTATGCCTCAGTGACCTTAAGAACCAGCAGGAGCTTTGCTTCAGGTGGGACACCCAAGCTGGTAGGGCTGGGTAGAGGCCTGCCAAAGCACAATTCATTTTTGTGGAGTTGGACACAGTTTATTTTTTATTTCATTTTATTATCATTTAATATTTTATTTCATTCACTCAATAATAAATATGAATAGTTTATGTAATAACTAAAATAAATCATGAATGAAAAGGATTAGAAATAAGTAACTTATATCTGCCCCCTATTCACATAAAAAAAAAAATTAACTATTCAGCTCAGAAGACCATTACAAACAATTCATTTACACAAAATACACAAAATATAAACAAAAAATACACAACAAAACATCAGCTGGGTGGTCAATCCAAATATCAATAATATCGATACCAACATGGGTACTGATATTGAATTTTGCCTAATTCTACCCTGGGTTTTAAGTAATAAATGATCAAAAAAAAATCACAAAACACTTAAAATTCACAGTAATTATGTAAAAATATCGTATCAGTATCAGTATCGGCGATACGGCGATACTGGACCTGTATTTATTTGGTATCTATCTATACCAAATTTTGCAGTATCACACACACCACTAAACGCTATATCACTTCATCATAATGATTTTCAAATTTCTCTTAAATACAGAAAAATATTTAGATTGTTTTATCTCACTGTCAAGATTGTTCCATAGACTGACACTTTTAATTGAAATGCATCTTTCCATCGTCGCCATTCTGAATCTAATTTTTTTTTAGAATTTCAGCTTTTAGCTATTACCCCAATCCCATGAAGAAAACACAAGTCAGCAATAACAGTGAATATGCTGGAGCATAATATGTACGGATGAAGATGCCCCCTTCATATTTCCGCCTGCCCCCTCATGTAACCATGCTTAGAACCGGCCCTGTTGTGCAATAATCTGTCACAACCTGTGTAGTATTTGTTAGTTATGTGTAATATGTATCATGTGCATTTTATCTTATATTACTACCTTGAAATACTTATTCATACAATTCATCCTACTTGCATCATTATACTGTTCCATGTTGTTGTTTATTATTTCTCTTTAGAACCTTGTAAATTTTTTTTTTTTTTTGGTACTTTATTTTTGGGATGGTTGTGGCTTAGAGCAGTCGTCCTCCAATGCAAGAGTTGGGGGTTTGATTCCACCAGCAGTCACATGCTGAAGTGTCCCTGGGCAAGACACTGAACCCTCATAGCCTCTGATGTGTGTCCCATTGATGTATGAATGTGATCTTAAAAAAAGCACTGATTCTCTTTAGAATTATTTGTTCTATAAGCTTTGTACAGATCTAGTAGAGTGCTGTATGAATGGGTAAATTAGCCACAGAATATAGTGTAAAGAGCTTTGATAAGATAAAAAGGTGATATATAAGTACAGTTCATTTACCATTTACCCTTATTGCGTGCTTTTGTATTTTCTTGCTCTTTGTTTTTTAGCGAGTCAAATCAGTTCTTCTCATCCTGAACATTTCATTGTACTGTTACCTTGTGTCAAACCTGTGACAAATAAACACAACTTGAACTTGTTATTATGTGATTATTAGCATTTATTTAATTTTGTCACATTCCACCCGCCATACCCACACTCGGGTGTGACGTCATTCTTCGATCCGCGTTCCGAAGTTCCGGCGTAAATAAAACACATCATTAATTGAGTCAAAAAAACGTTCAAGACAAAAAACCAAAACAACTGGACTTTATTTGTAACGAAAGACGTTGTTTTTGTCTTGAGCGTTTTTGAATTTACCATGTCCTGGATGGCTGAGAATCGTCACCAGCGTATCATTAATCGATGTTTATTCCCGGCTTTTATTTTGTTAAGTCCTACCGGAAGCTCTTCATGTGTAACGGGTGCCGGGACAGAAGCGCTTCGCTTTGGCACGTTCTCTTAACAGCAGCAGTTAAAGCAAAGGGTCGCCGAGCGGCGGTGAGTGTTAGACGGTGTCGGCCTTTTGTCTGCCGCTGTTCGTCCAGTCTGCTCGGGAAGGTAAGCTGACATTAGCCCCTGGAAGGGGGCGGCAGTGTTTGGGGAGAAGAGGGAGGGGGGTGGGGACATTCAGTCTTTGTGCTAGGCCAGATCTGGCAGAGTTCAGCGCGAGCCCCTGCAAAGGTGCAGTATCGTGCACGTGCAGTTTACGTGAAGCATCTGTGATGTTGCGTCACGTTGTTGTCTTGTTTGTTGATTGTCCAACCGAGCCAGCGGTGGACCGGGCGCTGAAAGCTCGCGCTGTTTGTTGTGGGCTCTGTTCACACCTGGAGCAGATGTCAATGTTCTCACCTGCTCTGTCAGAACGCGCTCACACGGTCGGACCGCGCGCTGTCACCACGGACACTGAGAGAACGATGGTTCCTGTGAACGGTCTGTGTGAACGTGATGGGTGACATTTGTTCAAGAGTTCAAGTTGAAATGAGCTGAAAGCTACAATTAGTTCAACAAATTTGATGAGATCTTAATGCTGTTAAATGGGGAAAATGTAAATAAAGTTTATATATATATTATATATATATATATATAAATTATATATATATATATATAAGTTAAATTTGACAACACAGGTGCAGAACCTGTCTGAACAAGTGGGCGAGGCGGAGTAAATAATTCAATTCAATTTATTTATAAAGCACAAAGTCACAACAGAAGTCTCAGGGCACTGAACAGAAACATTCATATGTTAAAAAAAAAAGATAATTTAACATTATTTATCTGAGGAGCAGACTGCTTTGAGTTTAACTCCATCACTGAACTCTCATCTTGAGCATGAAAGCGACAGTGGAAAGAAAAACTCCCTCATGAGGAAGAAACCTTTATCAGAACCAGGCTCAGGACAAGAGGACCATCTGCTTCGACCTGCTGGGTTTGAGAGGAACAGATACACAATGGCAGGTCAAGAATCACGTTCAGATAGAAATAATATCAAATGAAAACTATTCAATTTTAACAATTAATTTTAGAAAATGAGGTGAGTTTGCCCTCTAGTAGTCTAAACCTATAGCAGCCCTTAACTATAGGATTCATCAAAAAGGAAAATCTTAATCCCAGTCTTAAAACTGGACAATGTGTCAGCCTCATGGACAGAAACTGGAAGTTGGTTCTAGAAGAGAGGAGCCTGAGAACTGAAAGATCTTCTGGAAACTCTAGGAACCACAAGTAAACCTGCAGTCTGAGAGCAAAGTGCTGTAATATAAGATGGAGCTAGGTTGTTGAGAGCTTTGTAGGTTAGAAGTAAGATTTTGAATTCTATTCTGGACTTGACAGGGAGCCAATGGAGAGAAGCTAAAACTGGAGAAATATGATCTCTCCCACTAACTCCAGTTAAGACTCTAGCAGCAGCATTTTGGATCAACTGAAGATATTTTAAAGAAGTATTTAGACACCCAGATAATAAACCATTGCAATAGTTCAGTCTAGACGTGACAAATGCATGGACCAGTTTTTCTGCATCATTTTTAGATAAGATGTTTTTAATCTTAGTGATATTACGCAGGTGGAAGAAGGAGGTTCTAGTAACGTTTTTAATGTGGGGGATAAAAGACACGTCCTGATCAAAAATAACACCAAGAGTTTTAACATTAGAGCTGGAGGACAGATTAATGCCATCTAAGGAGGGAGAGAGACTGAAAAATTCATTCCTAAGGTGCTCAGGTCCAAAAACCAAGAATGGACTGTAGTTATGTAACAACTTTCTATCCACACACACACAAAAACACACACACAAAAACACACGTGTGTATATATACATACAGCACCTTTTATATTTATGAGATATTTTGGTGGAATGGCCGATGTCCGATATTTAACTTTATTGTTAATATTGACCGATACCACGTCAATGGGAAAAGAGGAACATAAGAAAGGTGAAGTTTATCTTTTTGCACGTGTTTTTTTTACTCTGGGGGTGTAATTATATGAATGTTTGTGCGCTCCAGATTCAGCATGTCCAGTGAGATTCAGCCGAGGCCAGACGACAGCCCCAACACCAGTGGGGGCAGCTCGGACACTGAGCAGAGGGAGGCAGCTCCTCCGGAGCAGCCTGGCCCGGAGCAGCGAGACCCATCCCAGCCCAAAAAGAAGGAGGCCAAAATCCCCAACAAGACTGCTGCCAAGCTTTCCACCAGCGCCAAGAGGTAGGTCTGCTGCACGGGCTGCGTGCCTGCAGCTCTCAGATAGGTCTGGTCCGCTGCACAAGTGATCATGTTTCTCTTTGCTCCCTCTCCTACAAAAAGGTTTTTAAACAGCCATTGAGATTTTAAAAGAAGAAATATCTTAAGGACTTTTCTCTGAAGGAAAGTTTGTCCAAATTTCTGGCATTACATGGCGGCATTCCTGGCATTTTAATGAGCTACATTTAATTTCCCTTTGGGATTAATTAAGTATTTTTGAGTTTGAGTTAGAAACAGAACACCCAGAAAGTTAAAAGAACTTGATAATACATTAATAAAAGTAAAACCAAGAACAAATCTTCAACAACTCACCTTCATATCAAAATTAGCTGAGTCATCTGTATAATCTTTTCATGGCATTAGATGATAAAATGCAACTAAAGAATTGATGAAAAACTGTAAAGTCCTGTGAGTTACAAACTCCAAGAAAATGAAAAACAAAACTTTTTTTTAATTTTTTTTTTTTATAATTTGGAAACATTGTTGAAATAAATAAAACCAAAAATTCAATTTTTTGTGACTTATTGTATGTACTTGGATTTAGTCTGTTAAATTTAACAAATAGCTACACTGGTGCTTGAAAGTTTGTAAACACAATAATTTTCTATATTTCTGCATCAGTCTGACCTAAAACATCGTCAGATTTTCACACAAGTCCTAAAAGTAGATAAAGAGAACCCAGTTAAAGAAACGAGACAAAATATTATACCTGGTCATTTATTTATTGAGGACAATGATCCAATGTTATATATTTGTGATGGTAAAAGTTTGTGAACCTCTGGGATTATCAGTTAATCTGAAGGTGAAATTAGAGTCAGGTGTTGTCAATCAATGTGATGATGATCAGGTGTGAGTTTCACCCTGTTTGATTTAAAGAACAGGATCTATCAAAGTCTGATCTTTTCCTTGACGGACGAACGGCGGGAAATTTTTGAAAGTTTGAGATTTTTGTATCCATATATTTCATTTTTCTTTTTGAATTTGGTGGTTGGCATAAACTGGAATGCGACTGGATCGGGATGACTACTCAGGTAGATTACAACGAGGATATGGATTTTGATGACTGGACTCCGGTAGGTAGAGGAGGAGGAAAAGGTAAGGGCAAAGCTGTGAGAGATGACAGAGAGCTTGGCAGCCATAGAAATAAGAGAAGCCTTGAAGAGTGTAGTTCAGAGGATGAAAACAGACTGGTTAGAAGGAAAGTGATAAATGAGGAATTTAAAGTCATACTTAAATTCAAGAAAGAAGATGAGAACATGAATCTAAGCCCTATAGCGATATCTAAAGATATAAAAAAGAAACTA